CCCTTGATTTGAATAAGTAAATTTGACAATATGCCAATGGAATGAGCATTTTTACCCTTAAAATAAGATAATTAGATGAAATGCACTTGAAATAAGAAGATGCAGTTGTGTTTTCTTAATTTAAATCTAAATTGTCTTGTTCCATTGGCAAAATGCCTCTTTAATCTCCTCAATTTAAGAAGAGATGCACTTATTTTAAGAAAAATTACTTATCTAGATTTTGATTTTTTTCAGTGGAGGATCACATAGAACTTCTGAAGCTAGAGCACAGCGAAGAGCCACTGCAGGCTGAGGCTGCACAGTTGACCTGCAATCCATTTCAGGTTTAATGGGTAAATGGTCCGCCCTTATAGAGCGCTTTAACAAGTCGAAGGATTCTAACCTACATTGTAGCCACAGCTGCTCTGGGGCTCCCTGACAGAAGGCACTCTGACCACTACATCAGACTGCGGTTGGTCAGGATTACGCTTACATATCCTGCACATTTAGGTGATCAGCTTATAGAAAACATACTCATGATGGCAAACATGCTGAATGGACTCCACCTGTTCACAAATGCTTTCAACTGTCACTTTTTTCCTGTATTTATTTTGTTCCACCTTCTAGTCAATTCCAATCTGTTTCTTGTCCCTGCTAAAAAAAAAAGCAAAATCCATCCATCCAAATCTAGATAAGTAATTTTTTTCTTAAACTAAGTGCATTTGTTCTTGAATTGAGGAGGTAGGTGAGACACTTTGCCAATGGAACAAGACAATTTATATTTAAAATAAGAAAAAGGAACTGCATTGTCTTATTTCAAGTGCATATTATACAATTACCTTATTTTAAGAGTAAAATACTCATTCCATTGGCAAATCATCCCATTTACCTACTAAAATAAAGGTTAAATACACTTGATTTGAGACATTTTTACTTATTTCTAGATCATTTTTGCAGTGTGTGGCTACACTGCAAAAAAAGAAAACTCAATAAGTAATTTTTTCCTTAAAATAAGGGCATTTTTTCTTGAATTTAGGAGATAAGTGAGACACATTGCCAATGGAACAAGAAAATTTAAATTTAAAATAAGAAAAAGTAACTCTATTGTCTTATTTCAAATGAATATTATCTAATTTTCTTATTAAAAGAGTAAAATACTCATTCCATTGGCAAATCATCTGATTTACCTACTAAAAATAAGGCTAAATATATTTAATTTAAGATAATTTTTTACTCCTTTCTAGATTGTTTTTGCAGTGTAGTTAGTTTGCTATCATTTTCATTTATACACTAAAACCCTGGAGAATATGCTTAAACAAAATAAGTTATGCACTGCAAAAACGATCTAGAAATAAGTACAAATTTCTTAAATTAAGTGTATTTACCCTTAATTTGAGTAGGTAAATGAGACAGTTTGCCAATGGAATTAGTAATTTTACTCTTAAAGTAAGATAATTAGGTAATGTGCACTTAAAATAAGACAATGCAGTTGTTTTTTCTTCTTTTAAATGTAAATTGTCTTGTTCCATTGGCAAAATGTCTCTTTTACCTCCTCAATTCAAGAAATAATGCACTTATTTTAAGAAAAAAGGACTTATCTAGATTTTCATTTTTTGCAGTGTGTGGTTTCCATAAGTTTTACCTATTTTAGGCTCAGTAGCAGAAAAACTCTTACACTGCAAAAACGGTCTAGAAATTAGTAAAAATGTATTAAATCAAGTGTATTTACCATTCATTTTAGTAGATAAATGGGATGATTTGCCAATGGAATGAGTATTTTTACTCTTAAAATAAGATTATTAGATAATATGCACTTGAAATAAGACAATGCGGTTGCTATTTCTTATTTTAAATGTAAATTGTCTTGTTCCATTGGCAAAGTATCTCACTTACCTCCTCAATTCAAGAACAAATGCACTTAGTTTAAGAAAAAATGACTTATTTAGATTCCCATTTTTTGCAGTGTAAATCTAATCTCACAATCTCTTCTAGCCTAACTGTGGAAGAACAAGGCTGCAAATTTGGAGACATAAGTTAACGTTTACTTATTATTAAGTTTAACTTGATTTTACTGTTAAACAGAGTTCAATATTGACTTACGTAAGTATTTTTTTAAATTACGTCACTTTAACTCTATCAGGCCACCCCTGTAATAGCATTAAGCCCTCCCTAGGGGGCGCATCCCCTACTTTAGGTAGACAAACATTTTACTATTAAATCATTAGAGGAAAAAAATCTTTTTTTGCAGCTTCTCTGCTTACATTTTTTGAGGTAGAGACACCTCAGATCAAAATAAGTTTTTTTAAAAATGGATTGATTTCATCGCAGTCTTCATGAGTAAGATTGATTCTAATTGAGATCAAATCTCAGGCATCAGAGATCGCTGCAGATTTAATGATACGATACAAGCACCTGCCTTCTGTCGCCACCGGTCATAGAGGCGGAGTGCATTTTCACTGATCTGATTGAACTGTCTCTATAAAGTGCCTTCAGATGACATGTGCTGTGATTTGGTACAGTATCGACCATCTGAACCAAACTGAATCAATGAAGCAGGCTGCTGGATAGATATTTGTGAAGTTAAATATATGTGCTATTGCAGTTTTTACAACATTTCCAGTTATTTTAAATTCTGCAACCTCTGAGGGCTGTGCCACATGCATTAACTGACTAAATCTATAAACATTAGTGTTGTTATGCAGTAGTGTTTAGTGCATAGGTACATAATTATCCTAAAAAATGACATCATCATCATCAGGCTGATGGAAAAATCGAATATCCAGCTGTATAGTTCCTTTAGAGATATTTGCCGCCATCTAAATTGTCTTTTCTCCTGACATGCAGCCTGAATCTCTACGACTCTGCTACTAAACTGTTTGCATTTTGGGACAGA